TCTCTTTTCTTTCTACAGAAGAAAGATGCTGCTGATCCCTTTAATGATGACGAAAAGGAAAGGCATAAAGTGGAGGCTCTTGCTAGGAAGTTTGAAGAAAAATATGTATGTTTTTCTTCTTTCTATTACGCTATCCCTTAGAATGGGCAATGCTGTTCAGCTCTCAAGCAGTAATATTTTAGTAATGGTTGCTGGCTCTTATGTTCCTGTTCTCCCACAGTCCTTTATCTTGGCTGGAAGGTTCTGTTTTCTGTGTTCCTTTCCTGTCTCGGGGCTGTGGTCCACGAAACTAGTTCAGACACGTTCTTAAATCAGATGACAGTCGGATTAAAGTGAATGACGTTCTCACTTGTAGTGGCAAATGTCATGATCTTGATGTAACTTGTAAAATTTAATTTTCTTAAGCAAAAATTAATTTCTAGGCCTTGTAGCTGTGGCACGATGTAGTCTGTTAAGTCTCTAAGTACGGTGCCCTGGTGAGTGCTGCCCTTAGGACAGTACTGCGCTGGGTAGCAGGAGAGGCGCGGATGTGTCTTACTCGTTTCCTTTCTGGTCTTCCTCTCGCTTTACTGCTGTAGACGGCAATAAAACTCCGTTGTGTTTTACAACGGGTGCTTTTGGATGGCGAGTTGCTTTGCCTTGTGATGTGAATTTGACCTATGAGTCACCCTAATGCGCCACGTGTATGTTTGATGCGTGTAGTAGCGCGTTTGTACTGACTGCATAGCAGTTATGGAAGAACAATCTGGCAGAAATGTTCAAGGGTGCCGACCCAATTCAACATAAAGTCTGCTGGCACAAAGACAGCCTGTCTGGCAGGTCAGCCTTCTGTTTCGTTTGGCTGCACTGTTTTTGATTCCGTCTGACAAGGCCTAAAACTGGATTTGCCATATCCTGAGATTACAGTGTGATGGGAGGTAATGCTGGTTTGGTTCTGCTGTTGCTAGGAGCAAAAAAAGATCTCGTTCTCCCTTCTGAGCTGGAGCCAATGTCAGTGCCCTGTATCGGGCCGTCCCCGTGGTAGTTGGAAAAGGAAGACGAAGACGCTGTCAATCTTTTGTTGTTTAGGGTGGCAAGAGGCGGAGAAAGGACCGTATTCAGGACTTGATTGATATGGGGTATGGCTACGACGAATCCGACTCCTTCATCGACAACTCTGAAGCCGTGAGTAGTGGGGCGGGAGTGAGGGTGGTCGGGGGCGGCTGCCGGGGGGCTGAGGTGGCCCCTGGGAGAAGGCGGCCGGGGCGCGAGGCAGGAGCGCGCCAGGGCTGGGGAAGGAGAGCGCCCGGGGCGAGCGCGTGGCAGGAGGTGGCTGGTCAGCAGGCGTGTCCGCAGCCCCGGCTCTTCCTGGGGGAGCACAAGTCCCGCTCCGTTCTCCAGGCAGCTCAGCTACAGAATGAAGTGACAAAGCTTACGGTACCAAGAGATTGTTCTCTCTTATTTCCAGTACGATGAGCTTGTTCCGGCTTCTCTTACTACGAAGTATGGGGGGTTTTACATCAACTCAGGAACACTGCAGTTTCGGCAAGCGTCTGAATCTGAAGATGACTATGTTAAGGAGAAGAAGAAGAAGTGTCCCAAGGTCAGCAAGCCAGCTTTCTCGATTATTTCCTCTGTTAGAGGTGTGCTCTTCTTCGGTGGCAATGTCTGTTGCAGACAGCCCCGTTTTCATAATACCAAAGTGAGGCGGGTGAAAGGGGAAAGAGCAGGAGCACTCGGCATCCCTTCCCCTTTATCGGTAGAATCGTCTCCGGTGTAAAAGCTGTGAAACGTTGAGGACGGTGTGTGCCAGAACCGTGGTGGTACCTGTGTGGGGCTGGGGTTCATGCGTCCGGTGGGGAAGGAGCTGTTTGCAGATTCGTGGGAGAGGGCCCAAAGTGGCTCTGGGGGTGCAGGTAGCATTGCAGGAGTCGCTTTGGTTGTGACTTGGTTTTAACCCTCTCCAGAAGAGGAAGTTGAAAGATGGAGGTGAAAAAATGAAGAAGAAGAAGAAAGATGATTCTTACGACAAGGAAAAGAAATCCAAAAAGTCCAAGTTTCCAAAAGCTGGGTAAGGAGGGGGAGGGAGCGCTTGCGGCTGGACACCTTGCTTCAGGGTTACAGGTGGCATTTGTTAGGCTGCAGGAGAGCCTGTAGCAGCGGGGGGCGGCTTGCGCGCGTGCTGCAGAAACACCAGCAGGTAAAGCCCCGTTGCTTCCAGAGTGGGAGAAAAAAAGCAGGCGACGG